CGGAGCCGGACCCCCCCTCCTCCTCCCCCCGTGGGGCTGCTCCAGGGCACCCCGAGTATCTCTTCGTAGCGGGGGGAGCTCTGGGGCGGCGGCGCGAGCGGAGGGGCTCGGGTGTGACTTCAGTAAATAAATGCGGCGTTACACGCAGTGACACGGGGAGGTGGAGGCGGAAGGAGCGGGCATCCAGCCGGAATGGCCTGGGAGCCATGGAGTTGCTCAGTAGCGCTGTTTTAGAGGGCTGAGCTCCGCGTTTCAGGCTTATTCATGCAAATTACTGTTGTAATTCAGGTTTGTCTTTTGACTAGCTCCCAACCTGTTTTGCTGTTGTCGAATAGAGCTTTTAGGACGAGGCTGCTTAGTCACCCAGTTGTGTTGCTATCCAAGGCCTGTCTATTTCCAGAGCTGTATTGCAGTTTGCTAAAAATGACTTTTTTTTTCTTCCAGGAGGCTGTGCTCTGTGGTCTAAAAATAACGAAATTTGGCTGAAATCGTGATCTGTTATCAGTGATAAGGCAGTAGATTAACTTCATTCTACCTGATTCAGACTCTTAGCAGTAACCTAAAGGTCTTGATAAAAGTGGGCTTGGGTGATACAAGGGTCTCAGTGCAATGATCCTTGCAGGGGCTGGACTGGTTTGGGCAGCATCCCTGTGGCGCTGGCTCCGTTGTGCAGCATTATGTAATGCTAGACACCAGCACGGGGAGGCTGGCGTCTGAAGCTGGGTTTGTTCTTGAGTGCTCTCAGGCAATCACCACAAGAACAGATGCGTTAAATCTGAAATGCAGGTCTAGATCGTTATTTTTCAGAGCATCGTTCAAACTACCAACTCGGAACTTAGTTTTAATCAGAATTTTATTTTTGTCTATATGTATTTGTATCTTTGGAACAATCATGACGGTGTCCCTCCAGAACACCCATCTTAACTAGAAGTAGCGCTGTCATATAGGGTTACATGACTGTGTAAACATTAACTAGCTACTCGCTCTGCCAAATGGAAATTAAAGCAATGAGGACTTCAGGCTGGTGCGAGCTGCTTAATAACGTCCTTTGGCTGGCCTCCATTGGATGGGGTTTGTTGCAGTACTGTCAGGCTCAGCCGTACTGATGAGCTACAGGAGGCCTTTAAAGAAGGATAATGTAAGTTTGCTGAAAGTGGTCCAGCTAATTCAATTTTGGTAGTTCAAGTACTACTGTAAGGAACTGGTATGCCTAGCTCTTAGGTTTGGTTGGGGAAGAACACTTGAAAATTAACTGAAGTTAATTTGCAACTTCTAGAGCTTCTCTTTACAGTGCCTTGCAGGCTGTATTTACAAATACTGCTTTAGAGATGTTTAAGCAGGTAACTTGAGGGGAAAAAAAATGAAACTGTTGCAATGGTCTGCTGCTAACAAATATTTTGAGTGGTAAAGGAACTTACTGTAGCACATCCTACTAGTTTGTTGAGAACTGATTTATAAAATTTATGTGGCCGGACAGTTAATGTTATCATGTCCTTCAAGTCAGTTGATTCAAGTGCAGCGATACCCAAACAGACTTCATGTGTCCTTTCAGGCAGAAGTTGTAACCTACTAGCTGCTGTATCAAGTGCATTACTTCTGGGTTAGAGTTGTTAAATATCTGGAAAGATGCATCCTTGTAAGCTTTATTTTCCTGCTGGTGACATCTTTGAAGTCTGCTGCTTCTATTGTAGGTCTTACCACAGTTTGTTTGAAAACCTTTGTTAAAATGCGTAGTCATCTTAGTCTTTCCTAATGCTAACAAAGCGCCGATCTAACTTCCTACTTTGTAAGCGTAGTATTGAGTGCTGAAGGCCTTCCTTCTAGTGGTACATTGCTTTTTAATCTCTTCAGAAAACCAAACACTTTTCTGAAGGAAAGCCTTTGGTCCTGAGTAACCTGGTCTGTTTGACTTGAGCGAGGGAGGCTGGACTAGACTCTGCCTAGAGGGGTTCCTTCCAACCTCACTTATGTGATTCTGTTCCAGAGGCTATCATTTGAAAACCGCTTTTGAGATCTGACTTCATTTCGGTAGTCAAAGTGAGTAGCAGTTGTTTGGATTTGAAGACAAGTAGTGTTTTGGAGGTGGTGTTGAAGGTTAATTGAAGAGAAAGATAGCTCTAGTGTTGCACTATAAAAAATGTAAGCTGTATTGACTAATGAATCTTGTGTATTTTATGCTTTCAAATTAAGAGAAAAGTTCTCTTTAAATTGCTTTGGGCTTCTTTCTGTCAATCCCTGTTTCTTAAGCATGAGGATTAATGAATTTAGGCCTGTTGATTCAAGCAGTGAATAATCTGAGTGTGCTTTAAGTGGCACTGGGCTGTCTGCTGTTGGTAAGAACCAATATAAATAATAAAGGTAATGTAGATCTGAGGTAAACTTGTAACATTTGCTGAAAATTGTGTGGAAATAACTGTCCTTCTCTTGTAGATGCCTTCAATTAAACTGCAGAGTTCAGATGGAGAAATCTTTGAAGTTGATGTTGAAATTGCAAAACAGTCTGTAACTATAAAGACTATGCTGGAAGGTAAGAGTATGAAGCCTGAGGATCGCTAGCTCGTGCAGAGATAGCAGTGTGTTCAAGGAAGCCTCTTGAACAGGAATTGTGACCAAAGGAGACAAACCGGTACTGTGCTGAAACAGGATTCCTGTGAAGCAGCTTGCTGTCTTATGTCAGAGCAGCTGGAACAATTGCTGTTGTAGCTTCAACTGTTTTGGGTGGATGTGTTCTTGCAAAAAGCTTAAAGTTCAGTCCTTTTGTTAAGAGGACTTCCAGGGAGGCTAGTAAAATATCAGCACCCTGCTGCCTTGCCTGCAGCCTACTTCAGTTTTATAAAAGTTAAGCAAACAGAGCATCTAATAATACTAAAAACTAAGTTTATTTAATCATACAAACCAGTCTTACGATGTAAGTATCTTTCAAATGGGGTGGGAAATCATAAACCAGTGCAATGAAGAAAGAGCTAAAGTGAAACCTGTATTGGGAGCTTATGGATGCAGTTAAATTATTTGGGATAAATACTCAGTTCTGATCTCCTGCTGACATAAATTTGAAACAAAGAACTCGTGGCGGGGGAGGGGAAATCTGCCAGATGGCTAGGATACAGAGCAAACTGTGTCTAATCCCTCCAGTGCAAATCCTCATTGTTTACTGGTGTTTTTTTCCAGTTTTTGAGTGTATTCATTAATTAACTTAGAAAAAAAAAATATCTTGCTATAGATGTAGTTAAAATGATGTTCTTGGGTATAAATCTTTGTCTGGTTGTGACACCTTATACATAAGAGCAATAAAAATAAGGTTGAAGTACTCCAACCATTGAATACTTTTGTTCTGGTAATAAGGTGCTGTTGAACATGACTAGCAACATGAGCAGGAAACAGCAATCGGGTGGAATACATTAGGGAACACAATTCTTCTCAGTTTTCTCATGCAGAAGCTGTGTTGCTGCCAGTGTTTAGTGACACTCAGGTGTTGATGAAAGGGAAGTTACACAAGCACCACAAACTAGCCTCTTGCTAATCTGGGTGAGAACCAGCCTCCTAGTACAGATGAAATGCATTTGCAGTACAGCTATTTCAGCATCAGTTAATCAACAGTTTTGTGTGTTGGGTGCTGCAGCTGAAAGGGGAAGAGCTGAAAGGTGGGGTTGTATCAAGCATCACGAGATCACCAATGAAGTATCATCAATTTTCTGGTAACAGATGAAATTGCTGTTTTGGAGGTGGTGGGGACAAGTTGAGCAGAGTTGACTACACTTGAGATATTGCTTGAACTATTTCCCCATACCAACAATTTTGGACTGGTCACTTCCTACACTGGTATCTGCCACCATGTTCAAAGTATGCATTTGAAGTTTCCATTAATTGGTGATGTATGCAGTGCCCTTTAACGTCAGTATTTTAGTTTCTGAATCTATGAAGTCACTTATTCCAAACAAGTAGTAGTACTAATTAGTATTCCACTAATAATAACAGTAGTTGACTTGCATAAATACAACAGTACATGCTATTTTAATTGTGCACAAACTTGATCAGTGATGATGGTGTGACAGTCGTTTGTTCTTAAAAATTAAGTTAGTTGGTGATGTAGAATTGGCTCATCTGTGCATATAATGAGTGAAGGTCTGTGTAGTTACTCGATTACATAAGTAATTACAAGATGTTAATTTTTGACAGCTGTTAGCATTTGTGTGTGGTATTTGTTCTGTGTATCAAGTTGAAACTTTATGTTTTTATCTCAGTTTTTACTTTGATTCCTTAATTGTATCAAGGGGACAAAGTGACAAACTTTATCCAAACCTGCATTGAGCATGCTGACAGGCTTTTAAAACAAGGAGTATCAGAAGCATGCTTATAAATGCATGCTAAGACAGCGGCACAAATCCTTCAATCAAAAAAGCAAACTTCTTCAGCTGGTAAGAATCTGTACAAGTGCTTCAGAGGCCAGATATGTGGTGTCTCTGTGGCTACAGTATTTGCTGCTCCTATAGAGGACAAAACACGGTCTCTATTTGTCACAGTAGATCTAAATTCTTATTTAATAATAAATTGAATGGGAGATCTAAGTTGGAACACTTTGGTTTAGCTTGTGGATTGAACTGTTGAAAGTGGTAAAAATACATAAATACTTGATTCTTCAACATATCCTATTCCCAGAACACTGAACTAGCAGGTTCGGCTCGAGCAAGTAACTGACTGCTTAACTGATGGTTTATTGATGCTCTCATCTGATGAGGTAGCCTTATTAGGTACTAAGCCTAAACTTGGTATAACCTAATATCTGTAAGGCAGCCGTGGCTCCACAAAGCCTCACTGGAGCTTTTTAAAAGCTGCTGACTTCACCAGTTAGAGGTCCTTTGCTACCAATCCATTCAGCCTCAGTGGTGTTAAAATAGTGGGGAATTGGTGAAGCGGCGTAGTTCAGAAAGGAGTGAATGGTTTTGCCTGCCAATTGCTTAGTCATATTTCCATTTTTAGATTTGGGAATGGATGATGAAGGTGATGATGACCCAGTCCCTCTTCCAAATGTTAATGCAGCTATCTTAAAAAAGGTAAGATGCTGAAAGTGGTAGTGTTGTATGGCAGTAACAAAATGTGAAATTCACGTTGGAGTTGCATGTTATGAACTATTAAAGATACTTTTCATGTGCTAGCTACAAGCTTAACCAACTTGAGGTGCATGAACACAGACATTCAGGGTATCTGGGAACTGGGGTGAGGCTGGCAGACAGATAATGGCAGAAGACCTACAGGGGTGACCTTCTGGAACAGCAGCTGGAGGCCAGACAGGCTTCCTAAGGTGCTGAAGTGGTGGACATCTGTGCGCACTAGTATTTCATGGTATGGAAGCATTGATTTTAATTGGATTCTGTGAACTGAGGTGGCTGTTTGTGAGATCCATATGTTAGGAGAAAGGATTAAGGGACAGGCAGTGGTGAGAGTAACTGGCAGTAGCCATGCCTGTGTTTCAGTTGCAGTGCTTAAGAGACACTGTACACACTCGGTGGTATTAAATTTAGTAATAGACCATGATTATTGTTGGGTCAAGTGAGAAAAGCAAAAAAGTATGTTGCTGTCTTCTAAGATGCTTTTTGCGCTGACGTAGCAAGTGCCAAAATAAGCACTGGACTGTTTTGGGCTAAACGCAGGGTTAGGAATTATTTCCTAGTGAACATACACATAAATAACTTCAAACTTGTGAAGTCTCTTGGATTGGCAAAATGGAACAGTATTTTACTTGCAGTAGATCCCTACTCCTTTAATTGTCTGGGTGAGGAGATGGTGGTGTTTAAAAAAAAAAAAGGCAAGCTTGGGAACACGCAAGCCTTTGCCAGGTGAACTTTGTGCTGTGGTGAACATGTCCTGCTGGTAGCTATTACCACTCTATGCTCTTCCCCTATGTAGTATTCTGCTTAAGAATTATGTTTCTGCAAACAGATTAAACACTGCAAAATGAGGTTTAGGTTTCCTTTGTACAGTCTTATGTGTGTTAGCACAGGGTTGAATAACTTCAGAACACCAGCAGCTGACCTTTAAGATTGTAAGTAATTATCTAGCTACTGTCTCAGATGGATTCTTGAAGGCTGTTGTACTTCAGGATTGGGGATCAATTGTTCTAAGATGAAAATATTGGGTGATGGAGCATGTTCATACAGGATTCTAATATTAATCTAGAGAAAAGGGTACAGTTCTTCTAAAATGAAGTTAAGTTATAGTGGGGGCCTAATGGGAGAATCATTGGGATAAAACTTTAATATCAAAACCATAATTAGGTGATTCAGTGGTGCACCCATCACAAGGATGATCCACCTCCTCCTGAGGACGATGAGAACAAAGAAAAAAGAACAGATGACATCCCTGTGTGGGATCAAGAGTTTCTGAAAGTAGACCAAGGAACACTTTTTGAACTTATCCTGGTAAGTACGTTCAAGAAGCGTAAAGGCTGTGCCTGTGAAGTGCGCTCTACTTGTGTGCTTGACAAAATCTTTATGCTTATTGAATAACTTCTTCATGGGGGGGATGTGGGGAGGGCAAGTAGTTCTGGCAAACTACTGGCTAAACTTGTTGAGGATATTAGAGTGCTTGTTAACCTAATGGTAGGCATTAATCTATACTTGCTCATTTATCAGTTAATATCCTTTTCTCAATACAGGGCCCTGTGGATGTCTTTATTCTTGTGGCTCTTGAGTCTTAATTGAGGGCTTACTACTAGAAATGAAGTTCTGGAGATCCGCATCCAAATTAAAATCTAGTTTTGACTTTTAAAATTTGTACCGTATGTGGTACTGAGACAACATGACTTGTCTTAGCTAGTTAACAGCACTTCAACACTGAAGATCTTGAATGCTTGCGGGCTTCTGAAAGCCCTTTGTAAGAGGAGGGGGAAGGGGTGTCTTTCATGGTACAAATGACTTTCCCTTCTGTTTAGCAAGCAAGTTTTAGGTACTGTTACTTCAAGGTTCTAGCTAGAAGCTTCTCAAAGTGGAGATGATCTGTTTGCAGTTACCGTATTCTATAATTTCAGCATAGGCATAACTTTGGTAGTACATCTATAAGAGGCAGAGTATTGATATGGGAGCTTTAAATTTGGAAACTCTTCTACAGGCTGCAAATTACTTGGACATCAAAGGTTTGCTTGATGTCACGTGCAAGACAGTTGCAAACATGATCAAGGGGAAAACTCCAGAAGAAATTCGCAAGACATTCAATATTAAGAATGACTTCACTGAGGAGGAAGAAGCACAGGTACTTGATCTGGGTTTAACTATAATTTAGCTGGTTTTGTGCTGAATTATTGTGTGGTGCTTCATAACTTAAGGTGTGATGCAACTGATTTGTTAACAATAAATGTAAACTAATGCATCAGCTCCTCATGATTGGGTTGCTAGTGGTGGAAGACCTTTCAGTGCCTACAGCGCTTGCAGCCCATTACCTGAAAAGGTCAAAACAAAGGATACTGACTTCCTAGCTCAAACGTGTCTGGTAAGAAAATGTGTAGGATTGTTTGTGGGGGCCTTAGTTTGCTGTTTTGGAGCTGTAGTAAGAATGCTGAAGATGCATTATTGCATGTGGCTAGCAAGGTAAGCTGGTTGGATTCTTGTCTTTAATGAGCTCATTTATCTTAGAACTTGAACAACAAACCAATTGCAAAATGGCCGAACTGGGAAAGATCGGAACAAGATGCCTTGTTTAAATATGAAGGCAATAAGTTGTACACTTAGGTTTGTCTTCAGTGCTATGTCACGAAACAAGCAATTGAGTCTTAAGCTAGTCCATTTGCTTTACTTGGTTGAAAAAATTCAGTTTTGATCAAATCTAGGCATGAGAAATAAATGTCTTGGATTATATTGATCAACAGCTCAGTTTGGAAGACTGACTTTCTAATTAGAAACCCTGCATGAAAGATCAAAGCTGCTTCCAAGTCTATGCCTTCCTGGAATAAGTAATCCTGAATGCTTATGGAAATTTACAGCTACCTTTTAGAAGTTCACTGCAACATATTAATAGTTAAAATCTTCTTTTAGGTACGTAAAGAGAACCAGTGGTGTGAAGAGAAGTGAAGTATTGTGCCTGACACTCGAACACTGTAAGGATTGTTCCAAATACTAGTTGCACTGCTCTGTTCATAATTGTTAATATTAGACAAATGCAGCAGCAAATGAAGTTGTGTTAGCAGGATATTGGTCCCTTTGCATGTGTAGTGTTTTTTTGAGTACAAATTTAAATCTTCTGAGTTTTTACTAGTGTAATTGGATGTCTTTTTACTTTACTCTGCAATGAATAAAACTGAACTAAGTGTGGATTCTGTATGGAAAGTAGCACTTAAGGTTGTCATTTTCATTACACTTTTAAACTGTTCAAGTCCAGTTACAATGCTAAAGATAGACTCCATTGTAAATAAAACCGCCTGTGACTTCTTCCTCAAGAACAAAACACTTGTATTTACAGGGTATCGATAGCTTCAGAAAGAAAAACAAACTAGAATGTGTCTTGGGGAACTACGTAAAGTAAAAAAAGTTACTGGATTTCTTCCAAAAACATTGTGGGGGGGAAAATTAGTATTACGTAAAGCTATATAACTTTCAAGATGGTTTTTGTCCTGCCTTTAACAAAAAAAGGAAAAAGTATCTGACCACTTTCTTGTCCTGTTAGTCTTGCCTTATAGACTAGTGAAAGATGTGATCTAGAACTAAGCAAGCTCCTGACAGTTAAATTTGAATACTTCAACCATGTCTTGAAGACCTGCCTCTAGCTGGTAGCAAAGGAAAAGTGCGTTGCTTTATGCACAGGATGGGTGTGCTTTTATACATGTTACTGTTAAAAGTGGAGTCCGGGTTTGACCAAAAATGACTGACTTTACCAAAGTTAATATTATTGACCTGTGCATGCCATTAGTGGCTCATTTTTAGGCAATTTTAAACAACCCTTGTGATGTAGCTCTTTAAAACATGGTTTCATGTGTCCACAGGAAATCTTAGGCCTTTGTACGTGATACTTCAGCTTGTAGAGACTTCATTATTGCATACAAAGCTAATGCAATATCAGGCTTAACTTCTTTGGACAAAGCCACTTGCAACTAGTTAAACAGTAACTGGTTTTCTGATTTTTATTTTTTTTTACAGTTCCCTTATAGGGAGTAGGGGATGGTTGTGTGGTAGATCTTTGAGGTGTGCTCTTAGCTTGTATTGCATTCCATTCTCTGTATAAACCTTAGAGTAGAATGAACCTTAATAAACATACTTATCTCACTTTAAATATCAGTGTTTCACTTCTGAATTAATAAAGGGCTTTTAAACTTTTGTTTGCAAATGGTTCTAGTTATTCAAAACTTATCACTGAGTGTACAAATCATAGCGCTGAGGCAGTGGTTAATTGAAATAAAACAGATGTAAAGATTTTGTTAAATGACTAAGGCAAGCCACTAGTCAGGCAGAGTGGGCAACTTCTCAGACTAAGTCAGAAGTTAAATAGCAAGCAATCCAGATGGATGTTTTTTGATGGCTTAGCAGCTTTTAGGTAATCTTTGATGTAACTATTAATGAAAGCATTCATAACTTGCTCTAACGCAGCGTTCAAACCCCTGCTTTGGATGCAGCTGCTGCTCACATCTGCTTATTCATGAGGTTGCTGGGCTTGCCTTTGTGTGCAGATTGTGTGGGCATATTATAGATCGTCAGTGGGCATAAAATACTCCAGTGCTGGACTGGGACCTGAGGAAGCCTTTCCCCCATCCTGTCCTGCAAACGATACACCTCTGGTTAAAAGTGCTACTAGAGGAAATCTTCTGATGACGGTTCCTTCTGTGGCTATATTTGTGGTTGAATATTCAGCTTATCCTGCATTCTTACAAGAAATAAATCTATCTGTGTGTAAAACTAGTGTTCCAGAACGCACCAGTTTGTCCTTGGAGTGCTGCGTTGCTACTGGAGAAGGCTACGCTGTAATTGTGTTCGCTGGTGGAAGCCTGTATAAATTCCTTTAGGTGCTGCTCATCAGGCTGGGCTCCGTGTTTGTTAGCAGCCGCTGCCTCACACGATGCCTCGCTATGCCGTGGGGTGAGGAGGAGCCGAAGGCACGCAGTTTGTCCTCCTCATTACCTTGCTTCTGCATTGTTTGCCATGCCTGCGTAACAGACACCTGCCGGCCCGGGGTAGGACCTGCTAATTATTAGAAGAGCTTGCCTAAAACCGAACCTTTGGTGGCCGAATGCTGTAATGGCGGGGCTTCTGCTGAAGCTCCAGGGTTGTGCCAGTTGGCTGTTGATGCTGGTGCCAGTGTGGAGGTACAGCACACAGCGTGCAGGAGAAAGGGCTCCTCCGGGCGCTCAAAGCGTGATACAGCTGCGGCAGGTCCCAGCACTCTTCGTAGCCCTGGTAGTTAGGATTCCATGCAACTTATTTTCTCTAATTGAAATTCCCCTGTAGTACTGTCTCAGCTGCGTACTTGGAAATTCTGAAAAGGGGGAGAGACTTGGCAATTTCCCACTGTTAAACTCAGCGTTGCTGTTGAACTTGCATGGTGCTGGCTTAACGTTTACTTTTTTTAAAGCCATGACATGAGCAGGGGTAGCTCTTCTTGGCTGAAGTGATGAAGTGTGGGGGGAGGGAAGGCAAGGTGTCAGTAGGGATGGTAGAAGAAGGTATTTTTTTTAGTTGTGGTTAACTATTTCAGTCTTACCCACTGAAGACTATTGGAAATTATTCTAAAAACTACTTAACGTGCAAATGCTCAAGGGGGAAAAAAAAAAAGCAGGAATCCTCTTGAATTCTAAGAAATAGTTATTTGACAGTTGGATAAGATTATAACTTCCAGTGGCCTATTTTGAATAGCCAGTCTGGCAGTTACTTTATTTATAAAGCTATAAACATATTTTGAACATAAAAGCCAAAAAATACAAACTCGAAGTAAAAAAAATTACAACAAATGATGGATAGTCATTGGACAAATGAAAGTACAGCTGCAAAACATTTATCCCTGCTACATACATACAGTGGTTTTACTTGGTTTAATGAAGTGGTACTTCCATGACTTCTACATTCAAACTGATTTCAGGAGTTCAAATATGTATTTCAGGAGGAGTTGAAATTGCTGTAAAAGAACTAAAAAAAAAAATTCTTGTTGCGATAAAAACTTAAGGGCAAAGTTTTCCTTCTATTAAAAAAGCGTATTAACAGAGACTAGTAACACTTCATGTAGCATTTCTAAAGACACATTTTTGGTTTTAATAAAAGTAACTTTGTTTTGGCATTGGTTATCAGCCATGGGGCACGTAACAGAAGTTGGTCATGCTCGCTGTTTTGTCTTGGAAGGGGGCGGCTTAAAGTTCCCTTATCTTGTGTGTTTTGGGGGGAAAAAAAATAATTACAATTTCTCAGCTACACCAGTATAAACGGCCTGTGTTGCAGTAGACCAGGCGGCTGGTCGGAGTTCGTACTGTGGTAGCTGAGAGCCCAGGGCAAGGCCTGGCTACGAACCTGTCCGTGCGGAGCAGAGCACGGGGCTGGGACACGGGTGCGACTGCTCCGGCTAACGACGACGAGAGGAGGCCGGGATACAGCCGGGCCTTCTGCCGGTCAGCGTGCCCTGGACCGAGGCAGGCACCACACCGCCCTGGAGGGGCCAGAGGGGCCTTGAAATAAAGGGGTGAAAGTCCCGGTGAATTCTGAAATGAGCGGCGGCCGGCGTGTGTGCGCTGGTACTATTGGGTCCTTGGTCAGGACGCACAGGGTAATACTGTTCAGGGCTCCCCCCTAAATTCCCTCTGGCGTTATTTAGACACATCTGGTGTTTCTTTTGTACCTGCCTTTGCTTTGCTGCTAAGTTACGCGTTTCATCCAACCACAAAATACCCACCGGGTATTAAGTTACACCAGCTTGACACCCAGCGTTGAGTTACGCTGGGCCGCTGTGGCCGATTTGTCATCTGTGGCGTTTACAGTAGCTGACACTTGAACAGCACCTTCCGTCAGAGGGCCGCAGAGTGACAAACGCTGAGCCCAGGCGCAGCTGGGGGTTTTAGGCCATTTTTTTGGTTTTCTTACTCAAGTGATAAAAAGGGACTATGTCAGATCTGGCGAGACTGTGCCGAGTTCCTCTGGTCAGCACAGGAGCATGCTGTTGGCTAAGCTTGCTAAAATAATTTAAAAATGAGCAGATTGCGTATTGATCTAGTGCTATGTCAGTAACCCTCTGAGTGCAGTAAGTACGTGCCTACGTGTACAGGTGGCAGTCGCTTCAGGTAATGCTACTTCTCTAAGGGTTAAAATGATTCTGTCAGGCTTTAAAACGACTCTCTTCAAACTTTTCAGGTTTGTGCACGTAGCTTTCAGTCAGTGCTTCTGAAGTTACATTTACACAGGAGAGAAATCAAGCAATAGGTTTAGATCTTCTAAACTAAAACTGGAATTAAAAAATCTAGCCTACTATAAGCAAAAGTACCTAAATAAAGTGAATAAACCCAAAGCTGGTCTACAGGCTAATCAGGTTTGTTTTTTTTTTTTTTTAAATTTTCAATTTTGGAGGCGTAAACTCGTTTAAAAAGTTATGTTTAGTCCAATGTAAAAAATTAGGGTTTGTGTTTTTGCATTAAGAAAAAAAATATAAAAATATTTTGTACATTATAAAGGTCATCTTAAATTTCTTGCAGTCCTACAATAACATTACTACATAATTTGTATTCAGTACTCTAAAACCTATTCTGTAAAGTAGAAAAAAATAGACCCCCCTCTACCTCTGCATGGTGGTATTTTTCTCTTCAGCAGTCTAGAATCTATTTCTTTCAAGCGGGAAGAGCTCTGCCCTGGACTAGACTGTGGTCTCTGTGAGAAGCTGGTAAACCTGAAGCAAATCAAGAACTTGGATTAATTTGGGATTTACATCGGTCCAGGGAGATCGCAGTCTGTCCACAGTGTTTTTTGTTTGTCAAGCTCAAAATATAAATAAACCACCAGGTACTGGTAAATGCTTTCAAGCTGGAGAGAAGACGTTAACATTTGGCATCATCACGGGGGGGGAGGGAGGATCTTTTAGAAAAAGCTAGAATAAGGTTTTTTTAAAAAGTTACACACCAAATCACGAAAAAAAGGGTTCTGATCTGGCTGCGGGTAGGCGCAGACGGACGGCTGGAGCGAGGAGCAGGTAGTGTGCCGTCCTGCTGCCAGGCTGCCCGGGGGAAGGGGCGAGCCGAGCGCGGCACCCGCGCACCTGCCCTGCCCGCCGCCGCCCAGCTGCAGAGCCGGGTCGAGGCCGTAGCAGCAAACTGATTTTTGAGGTTGGGCCCAGCCTGTCTGGTGAGATTTCTGGCTGTCCACGGCTGCAGTGGACAATTCCAAACAGCACGGGAGACCCTGCACCGAGTAATTGACCATCGGAGCCTTCCAGCGGCCGGTCCGAGCTCCTTGGTTAGCGCTCCCTTCCCCTCCGCCGCGCTCTACGCTCGCGGGATGGGACGTGTCAGCACAGAGACCCGGTACCTGTAAACAGCATCTTCCTGTTCTCACGCAAGAAGTTTAAAAAATTCACCTTGTTGGTTTAAATATTTCATTTCTCTATTGCCCGGTCAGATCAGAAAGCTAGCATCGCTACATTTAATTTTCAGACTTAAGAGCTTTTAAAAAATGCTCCTATTCCAGCTTTTCCAGCTTTTCCAGCTCCGTGGTATAATGGCTATGAGAGATCTGTGAGTGAGTGACTACACTTGAAAGCAGCTCGGAAGGCAGGGAGTGGAAGCCTGTCTTAGGTTGATAGCACCTACCATCTACTGCAGCAAGCTGGGGAGTTCGTCTCTGCTTTCTGCCATACTTGAAGATAATGCAGTAAAAAAAGAAAAAACCCAAACAAACAAAAAAAGCAGCACAGGGCAGGGACAAAAGGCTTGTTTACTCATCAGCACTTTAAATTCTGGCAAGTACTTACTTTTTACCTTTTTTTTGAAATCGCTTTTCTATCTTTAACCCCTCCCCACCCCAAAAAAAAATCCCAAATGAGTTTTCCAGCATCCTTAAGTCATCCTGTTGCCTAACTGCACGTTTTACAGTGAGACGGGGAATTTGGATGGGCCTCTGGTCCTTTTCAGTGGGCAGCGAAACCAAGTGGGAGAGAGCGAAGTGCCCAGTGTCCCAGCCAATGCGGCAGGGCGCGCGGGACTATGTCCCCGTGGAGGCCACGCTGTACGCTGGGGACTCTGCGGGCGCAGAAGAGCACCTGGTGGTCAGTCTGGAGGAGCAGGTGGCGGTTTGGAGGTGAGCGGAGACGGGGAAGGGGTCGGGCTGTTCTCTGTGTGCGGAGTCAGCGGGGGCTGCGAGCTTGTCTGAAGGAAAAGCAGAGGAGATGCATTGGAGTGCGTCCAGAGGAGAGGGAGGGGAGTCTATAGCACTTCCATCGGAAGAAACTGGGCTGGCACAGCGTCCTTCTCCTTGTAAGTACCGAATGCACTTCTTTTTCCTCCTAAGAACAGTGAAGAGAGTTATCTGTGAATAAAGCGTGAGTTCACGGTCACACACGAGAGGTAAACCAGCGCTCGGCGCAAGCCGGGGGCACGCAGCCAGCTGGGGATTCCCGGCCCGCCCCCTTCACCCCGGGCCTTCTCCCCGGCCGAGGCTCGCCCTCCACCGCGGG